ACATGTAAATCCATGGCTGATTCATGTCAATGTATGGCAAAAACCACTACAATATTGTAAAGTAATTAGCCTCCAACTAATAAAAATAAGTTAAAAAAAAGAAAAAAAATTGCAGTACTGCAGCAGTACATATGAAGGAACTAAATCTATAGCATCAATATAAACTTTCATATACACAACACAGAAAAAATAAAGCAAGTTGTAAAAGAATAAATACATTTTGATTCCATTTGTATAAAGTTCAAAAATATGCAAAACTATTCATTATTTTTAGAATATATATATATGCAGTAAAACTATGAAGAAAAGGCATCAACTGATAAACAAACAGCAAGCTGGCAGGAAAAAGGCTGGAAGGAAAAAGGGAACAGCAAAGCTTGGTACTGACCTGTTATTTAAGTTATGTGAAGGTGTCTGTTACCGCTACTATATATAAATAATTAGATGTATTTGATATTTAATAATTTTCAAAACTCTACTAAAGAAAGAAATCAATCATGAAGACAAAATGCTATGAAACAAAACGTTAGTTCTCCCTCATTTAATTCATAATGAGAGACATGGAAGAGAACATTTAAAGGAGGTTAACTATTTCTCTATCCAGACCCTCAGCAGTACTGTGTGATTCAAAAAGCGCAACAGATAATGAACAAAAGGCATTTTAAGAATACATCTTGTAAACATATAGGATAATTTATAAAGAATCTTTTAAAAAGAGTTTAGATGGAAAATCACTGAAAGTTTGACTATCATCACTTACCACTCACTTTCCAAACAAGATAAAATCAACAAACATGAAGAAAAAAGAAAAACATCCTGGAACTATAACTAAACTGCCTTCTATTAGAAACATATACAGCCAGTTCCATTCTCGTAAGTCATCTCATATAAAAATCTGAAAAGTGTATTTAATTTCCAGTTTTCCAGAAAGGATTTAAGGAAATACACAGAAATAAATCTTTCTATCTTTATTTTCTCAAATAAATGAAATATTTATGAGAATATTTATTTTCTCAAATAAAAAAATAAAGAGGAAATTGTGAAACTAAAATATAATAATAAAATAAAGCCATGATGAAGGCTAATAAACAAATGTAAAACCATGATGAGGTCTTATGTAACTTTTAACTGGCTAAAATTGGGCTCAAAATTTTTAGTCAGCTGTAGCTAAGAAGGAAACATAATTACTTAAAAGACAGTTATAAGTTAATAAACTCTACTCAAAGATCATCATCAACTTTTTTTAATACTGATTCCAGAGAGAAATACTCCCTGCAAATCTCATAAAGAATTAAAATCATCAAGCCACCAAAATACCCAGGTTAATAAAATTAATTGATTACTAGAAGAACAGAAATTGGGGAAATAAATAAAAATAAATTACAATAAAATTATTAAAAAAATAGATTAATGAATCTACTTAAAATTCAATATAATACCATACAATAGTCATATAAAATTTACTGACCTTCTTGAACTGCCATGTCCACAGTTATTCCAGAAGTTGAACGCAGAAGTTTTTGGTAATTCTGTGCATTTTGATCAAACAACTGTACAAGAAGAGTGCATGTCTTTTCATATTCACATCTGCTAACAGTGCACAACTGCTCCAACTGCTGAAACACAGTGGTGGTATCATCCAGTGGATCATCTAAATTATCTCTGTAAATATATAAGAATAGGACAACCAACAACATTAGAATGAGACATAATTTTACTCACCACAAATAAACTCTATTTAAGTTAAATCAAAATTCTATCATGGATAAAGAAGTAAAAGACACTGAAGGTAAGATATAAAATGTCTATAATTGAAAACATGATTATGTATATAAAAGTACCAAAGAAACCATATGAAAGCTACTCGTATTAACAGGTGAGTTTACATAGTTGCTAGCATACAGATCAATATATAGAATTCATTACCATTATACTAACATAAACAACTGGAAATGTAAATTTGAAAAACATTACCTTCGAAAGGTACCAGAAAACATAAAATACTAATTAAATCTTAATTAAATATATGTAAAGATTTAAAGACTGAATACTATAAAACCCTGATGAAAGAAATAAGAGAAGAGCTAAATAAATTAAAAGATAAACACGCTCATTGCCTGAAAGACTCTATTGCTGAGATGTCAATTCTTCCACCAAATTAATAAATTAATATACAAATTCAGTGAAATCATAGTCAAAATTCCAGAAGGACATTTTTTGCAAATACTGACAAGATGATCCTAAAATTTAAGCAAAAGAACAGCCAAAACAATTTTTAAAAGGGAAAACCAAGGTGGAAGACTCACACTACCTGATCTCAAAGCTTATTATAAGGCTACAGCACTCAAGGCAGGGTATTAGCAGGAGAAACACATAGATTAATGAGAAGAGAGTCCAGAAATAGAACCATACATATGTGGTCAATTAATTTTTGGAAACAATGTAAAGACAATTCAATGGAGAAAGCAGAGTCTTTTCCACAAATGGTGTTAGGGATAACCAGTTTTCAAAATACATAAAGGAAAAAAAGGAAAGAAAAAGAACATGGAGACTTACCTTTTATCATATACAAAAATTAACTCAAAATGGATTATGGACCTGAATTTAAATTCTAAAACTATAAAACTTCTAGAAGAAAAAAATTAAGGATAAATTGGACTTCATGAAACTTTAATACTCCTGCTCTTTGAAAGGCTCTGTTAAGGAAATGAAGAGGCAAGCAATGGACTGAAAAAAATATTTGCAAAACACATATGATAAAAAGACTTGTGACCTAAGTGTACTGACCTCTCAAATCTCAATATAAGAAAATAAACAACCCAATACAAACATGGGCAACAGATTTGACAAGTATTTTACCAAAGAGTATATAGAAATGGTAAATAAGCACAAAAAGATGCTCAACATTATGAGTCATTAAGGGAATGCAATTTATACCAACAACGAGGCGTCACGCCTGTTAGAATGACTAAAAGTTTTTAAAACTTCTAAAATATCAAGTGCTGGTAAGGATGCAAAGCAATCGGATCTTTCATAAACTGCTGGTAGGAATGCAGAACGAAACAGGCAATCTGGAAAATGGTTTGGCAATTTCTTTTAAAGTGAAATACACATTTACCTAGCAACCCAGATCTCACACCTAGGTATTTACCTAGGAGAAATAAAAACTTACATTCACACAAAAATCTGTACAGGAACACTTAAACAGAAAGAATACAAAAGGTGAATGGATTAATAAGCTATGATATATTCATAAAATGAAATGCTATTCAGAAGAAAAAGAAAAGAACTACTGACACAAAATGGAAGAATTTCAAATGTATTATGCCAAGTGACAGAAGCCAGACTAAAGGGCTACACATTATATGATTTCATTTATGCAGCATTCAAAAGAGGCAAAAATTTTAGGGAAACAAAACAGATCAATAATTGCTAGAGGCTAAGGATGGGGAAAGGTCTGACTACAAAGGAACCTAAAAAACCTTTCTGGGGTGATGGAACCATTTTATATTTTGATTGTATTGTTAGTTAAACACAAATGTATACATTTGTCAGAACTCATAAAACTGAAAAAGGTCAAATTTTACCACAGGTAAATTATACTTCCATTTTAAAAAAGTTCCAAGATGCAGAAGATGAAAATACAACAAAAACATTTAGTTTTCAATACCTCACAACTACAGCAACAGATTCCAAGCGAGAAGTGATAAAGGCCTTCGTGATCTCTGGTGCGTAAGTGTCTAATAAGTGGGGTTCAGTTGATTTCACAAAAGGAACGGATGCTACCATCCTTTGCCACAGGGTTAATAAATAATGAACACTGTTGGGAGCAAATTCCCAATGCTACAAAAAAATAAAGCAAATGTTACTTAAGCTGATATCATATCTCCCTAGAATAAGAACTGCAGAGGCAAAATTACTAAACATACATTTAAAACTAAACTTATTCTGATTATAACACTAATGAACATTTAACATAGCAAATGTTAAATCTTTGTGAACATCCTTCTAAACTTCTTTCCATGAATATTTTTTAACAGAGCTGATATCATGTGGAAAATATGGTTTTAAAACTTCTCCCCAAACTTATAAAAAGAATTTTTCCAAAAGCTAATCTGTAAAACTTTATTTTATTTCTCCACATAGATTTTACCAGTTTCTCAATTCACTCTTTAATAATTAGATAATTAGATGGCCTCTAAATTTTTATTATTATAAAATTTGTTACAAAGAACTTTTTCCTAAAATCTTGCAATGAATATTTTTAGCAAAGTGCTTTAATAGATGTTTTTAAAAATCCCTACCAAATCTGATCAAGAAAGTATTTTAAAACTATTTACAGTTTAGCACCAACTATGTATTTTTACTTACCTGTAGACTAGTAATGGTAAAATTGGCAATCAATCTGATAACTTCAGGATATTCCTTCACCATAACTAATTCTCCCAGCTGATAATTTGTCTTTAAACGAGCCAAAAATCGACAAAATTCATGATAATTACCTGGATCAGACAAACCCTAAATTATGAGACAAAAGAAAGGCTATTTTAAAAACTTAAAAATAAACCAAACTAATGACCATCAGTAAAATTCCAAGAGTATTTACTAAGTCTCAGTGTTTTCATGGGTACTTACTGCACTTTGCATCAACTGGGTAGGTATCAATTTAAAAAAAAATGATTCCCACTGGGTTTAATGTTGTCATAAGTGATTAATAAAAAGGAATTCAAAGTAGAGGCTTCGGAGGAAGCTTTGACCATGATGACTAAGTCATAATGTTCGGTAACCATTACAATACCCAAAAAATGTGCATGAGAGAGAAGTGAGAGACAGAGAAAGTGTGTATGTGCGTACTGTGGCTTAAACAGAAGTCAGTACAAGAACTGAAAAATACGTAAGATGGAAAATAAGAATGGCTCTTGAAATCCTAGAAAAGAGCAATACCACTACATTGAGATTAAATGTGTACAAATAACGGAAATATATTTTAATTCAACAGATATTTATTGAGTACCCACAGGAATGATGTCCTCAAGCAACTCCCTGTCTCTAAATCACTCAAATAAACTGCTACAATGTATAGCAGAAAGTTTAACAAAAGTACTATAATATATAGAAGTAACTCTGGGAGAAGAATAGGTTAAAACAAAAGACCAAGAAAGGTGTCCCCAGGGAGCCCCTTAAAGATAGGATGTGTGTTATTATCTTTATAGTTTGAGAAGTTTGTCTCTCCCAAAGTTATTAACAGCCAAAAGACTTAGATAAACCTCCTTAAATCATCATTTAATCTTTTAAAATCTGTACTTTCACTACAGATATTTTAAACCAAAAACTAAAGTGAAACAAATTTTATCCAGACACCCCAAATCACTAATTAATAATGGCTTTGCAATTCTCTGAAATGAATATTGCCACTGAAGATTTGCAGTTAACATAGAGAGTAGATTTTAAAATCTACACACTTTTATTGCCCACAAGAGGACAAAAAGATATTATTTCATAATTTAAAGCCACTTATTTCAATATTAACATCCAGATTTTATACTGCCTTCTAGTTTAGAATACAGATATAACTCTAATCACTTCAGTAATTTAAGAAGTACAAGCAAAACACAATGGTAAAAAGCAGAAACATAATAAAATATGCAACTTCTATTCCTATGGGAAAAATAAAAACACAGACATCAGTCAGGAAAACATGTACTTTTAAAAACTGCCCATTTATACTACAGATGAGAGCTAAGAAAGAAGACTATGATATGTACTTTCTTCCAGAATCATAACCATGTCATAAGTTTATCATGCACCTTTCAGCAGAAAAACTGTACTTATATATGTTAATGTTAATTAAGTTACTTCATAAATACCTGAGGGTTTTCAAGTATCCTTTTTACTCCCTTAATTAAATTACCAAGGTACTTGGCACGTTCAGGACTGCTAAATAAGGACCTTCTTGTAGAAGCAAATTGAACTAAACATGAAAGTGCCTAAAAACAGGAACAACAAAATTCATTTCAACTTTAAAAGTAACTGTGGGCACACAAAAAGAACACTAGTTTTTACATTAAAATTTTTAAAATTTTAATGATAAAAAAGAATTATAGAATCCAAAAATCAATGTAAACTAAATATCATCAATCATTACCACCATCCACAAATCTTCAATTCCATCATTAGAATTTCTATTTGTATATAAAATTCCTCTAATATTTTTGTATATATTAAATACACCAGAGCAGAGCCAGGATCTGAATACACTTCAAAAGGCTCCCAATTGCTCTTGCTACCTAAACCTTTGTAAACTGATGAATCAAGTGCTTCACCAAAATGAAAATAACCGTGTTGTTGCAGAATATGTTTAGGAAATACTGCACAAAATGCACTGCAGTATCCTGTAAGTAGGAAAAAATCTGTAATTTTATTTAATCTAGCATGTCCCAAATATATCTGGTGACAGATCATCTTGCCCTCAGCATTTATTAATATCTTAAGAACAATTTGGAAAATGTTCCTGAAAGAGTTAGATATCCTATAAAAATTCCCACAGAGAGTAACAGTGGCCTAGTTATTTATCTTCCTTAAGTTAATATTTTATCAGACAATTTCACTACTCAGGTTCTTAATTCTCCTACTGGAATTCATTGAAGCCTTTCATTTTAGTAATTGAGAGGCCCCAAGCTGGCCCACATATGTTTTGTTTCAGTCCACATATGTATATCTGCCCACTTATAAAAAAATAGAATTATCTGCCAATATTTAAATATTTCAGTGAGGAGATTTCACACAAAACGTCTGATTCTCAAGACAAGGATGAGAATAGGGACAAAAAATCAGTTTAGATGTTACTCACTTTGTCACAGTCCTTAATGTTAAAAGCAAAAAAACACATGCAGACAAACATCCCCAAAACAAAACATCTTTGTGATGAGTAGAAGGTTTAGGAACCACTAATACAATTAAAAATATGTAGAAGTTTGGGGCCAAAACCACTTGAGTTTGACTCTCAGCTCTAAAATTTAGTTCACTCTCCTTAAGAAAGTCACTTACGCCATTCTGAGTCTGTTGACTTGGTTACACAGTGAAGATAACAATACTCACCTTGCAGGGCCACTGTGAGAATGAAGTGAGATAAGAATCACATGATAGGCTATGCACAATAAATGTTAGCAACATTCTCTTAAAGCAGTTTTCCATTCTATAAGCACCAGTAGCTTGTTTGTTTTATCCCTAAACATAACTGTAAACATAACATGAAAACATGGTTTTTTAAACAACTAAAAACAGGACTCTTCTGGTAAAAAGACAGAAGGCTGAAGTTCTGTGGTACCACCTAGAAACATGAGTGTCCTGTGAAAACCAGTTTAAAAACCACCCCCTTAATAAAACCCTCATTTCGAGAGCAAGCATGTTTTTAAGAAGAAGGGGCAGTATTTTTTGTCAACCTATTCCTCCCTTCTAGGCAACGACATATCTAAACAAACATACTGCTCATATGTATTTTAAATCGAACTTTTTTTTTTAAGGAAATGACAATATAAGAATCCTCCAACTTTACTTCTATAAGCTTAGATATTAAAGTGACAACTTTTTCTTTTTTTTTTCCAATCTTGCCTGGTCTCTGTTTTAGATTCCACAAAGATGGAATCCAGAATCTCAAATTTCTATGTAACCAAAGAGTCTGAACTTTTTAGCACACAATAGAACTTGATTCAAAAAAGGAAATGAACAACTGGAGTGATGAACATAAAACCAAGTGAGCAGATCCCCCTGGTTTTCTCATTTGGAGACATCTGATGGGGGCTGCATGGCAAGCCTGACATGGGGCCAAGCAGTGAAGAAAGAGTTGGAGAGGGGTTAGGAGAAGGGAAGGCAACAGGTGGTGTGACAACCTGCTGGACTGATTTCCAGAAGAAGAGCTAGGGACTGAGCAGGAAAAAGGATCTTTAGAGGCTGATGGTCGTCTTGGCTATGGGCACGGACTACATCACCAGTCATGGGTTTTGGGCTCACCAGTGAAATGGCAGGAACTATGGACTGTAAGTAGAAACTGACAAATAGGTTAAGCTATACAAATCCCAGATAGATGATGTTAAGAATTTCTTATGAGAGGTAAACTCAATCAAGAATATAAATAAAGTAAATATGTACCACCCTGAGATAAATATCACAGGTACTTTTAAATGAGATAATGAATGAGTTTTACTTACTAACTGAGATAGGAGTGGTGGAAGTGAATGATACAAATTAAAGAAAAGATCCAATGTTTCTGGTTCCAGGAAAACTGAAAAAAAAAAAAAATCTAACACCATTACTTTTAATTCAGTGATATTTAGCACAGTAAGACATTATCATACAAACCAAGAACTCTAAGACCTCAGCATGTGGCCAATCTTTATTTCTAGTTAAGCTAATTCCTTTTAAATTCCTAGCTATTTCCCTTTGAAAGATGGAAATAATACAAAGATAGAATTAGATCAGATGCTCCTTATTTCTATGTAGCATCTACAGTTCTCACTGAAAGAACCTTCTCACTGTTCTCATTTACATTAAAATAACATAAACATTTAAAAATTCAAACAGCATCAAAAAGTAAACAGTACTAAGAAGTATACAGTAAAAAACAGCTGTCCCCTACTCCATTCTGACCGCCTTTCAACTCTTAGCTATATTTACACACGTTTCCAAATTACATCTGCATGTACTACATGTTTTTATTTGACTGTTTTTAGACATCAAGTGAACTTGTTACAATGTATGTCTAATCACTCACCTCTCTACTCCCCCTGCTCTTCCTACAAACCATCCTCCCTCAAAAATCCATCCATTATTATAACAATTTGAGATTAAATCAATTCTATGTGTTTATTATGACTATGTAAATAATTCTAACAGCTGAGCCAAGTAAACTATGATTATATCACATTTCTAACACTCTCTGGATTTAATCATACCATCTTTTTTGTGTTTAGTTGTATAGACAGATATCTGTCACTAATTCTTTCCAAATGCTCGGACAGATGTACAAAATGTTCATGATATTTTCCGCATGGTCAATAAGATTAAAAACTTTCATTTCCATTTTCCCATCCTTCCTCCCAGAGCCTTCTTCAACTTAGCTGACTGTTCCCAAATGTGTTACATAATTATCTTATGTCTGCCTACTGTTATCTTGTGTTAAAGCTTTCCAAAACCCCATATCCTCTATTTTCTTGGCTTGTGTATCAAGTAGATTCCTAAAAGCAAGCACATAAGGGATAAATTTCAGAATAATTTACATGTCTGAAAATATTTTTATTCTCTTATACTTGATAATGTCAGTCTAGTTTGAAATTTATTTTCCCTCAGAAATCTGGGGATGTTACCCCATTCTGCCCTCTAGCTTCCAGTGCTACTGTTGAGAAATCTAATACTATTCTTGATCCCAATCCTTTATAGGTGACTTTGTTTCTGGTAGATTTTAGGATCTTCTTTCTCACTTTTATTCTGAAATGTCATAATTATGAAGTTTAGTGTATTTTTTTTCATTCATTATGGTGGGTACTTATTGGATCTTTCAATCTGAATATTTATGTGTCTCAGTGCTGAGTTATTTTGGTATTGTTTGCAAATTTCCTTCTGCTTTTTTCTGTCCTTTCCTGAACTCCTAATAGATGCCAAGCCTCCTAGTTTCATACTCTATTCATGATCTTATTCATATTATTATTTATAATATTAATAATCATATAATAATTGTATTATTTATAATATAATCATAATATTATTCATATTTATATTCATAACATATAACATAATTAAATATATTCATAACATAATATTCTTATTTTTTTTCCTCCTATAAAGCTCTTCCTGCTTTTTTATTTTTATTCTACTTTCTAGGATATTTCCTTAACTTTATCTTCCAACTCTTCTACTGAATGTTTTATTTTGGCAACTTTTACATTTGGAACAGTCTCTGAACTTTTGTTTTTGAAATAATATTCTATTCATGTTTCAGGAATGCATTACCTTTTCTTAATCTCTCTGAGGTTATTAATTAACCCTTTTGGAAATTTATTTCTACTCTTCACTTTGTTTCTACTAACTCTCCTCTTTAAAAATATTTCTTGAGATAATTACATTCATATGCAATTGAAAGAAATAATACAGAGATCTTATGTTTTATTTACCCAGTTTCCCTAAATGCTAAGTTGCTGCAAAGCTAAAGCACAATATTACAATCAAGAAAGCACACTGATAAAATTCACCAATCTTATTTGGCTTTCCCAATATTACATGTATTTGTGTGAGTGTTTGTGTGTGTTGGTATGTGTGTATTTAGTCTGTGCAATTTTAACAACATATGTTGGTTCATGCATTCATCACCACTATCAAGATACTAAGTTCCTTTTAATTGTTTTAGTCTCTGATTTCCATATTAGAAGTTTTTACCAAATGTATGGTGCTTCTCTACTGTATCTGATACCCTGGAATATGAAACCTTTCCAGTTTAATTTCTCAAGGGAAAAAAGCTCTGGTCTTGGGAACTGAGAGGAAAGTGTACTTAGAGAAGGGAAAAGGGCAGTCACAGAGTGGCACAGATGGTAGAGAAGATCCCAGGGGGTGTTTGTGCAGAACACAGATTTTTCACCAAGCCCTATCAGCCCTATTCCCTACCTCTAACTTCAGCAGGAAAACCCTACTGTCATCATCTTTCTGGGATGAGTAAGAGCATATGCGTTTGCTTTTTTTGGGGTATCCCTCTCTGTAAAAAAGTAAATTGCAATTCTGCTTTGCTAAGTTAGCTACTCTAATTCACTCTCTTCATAACTTTGAAAAATATGATGATATCTCTTGCCAAGTGTTATACCCTCTCTTACTCTGTTTATATGAAAATTTGAAAACAGAACTCTTCATTTCCCTACCTAAACTTATTTTCCTCCAACAATAGAGCTGTCTTCTCTTTTTTCCAAAACCAAAATATGAGGTTACTATGAATTAAATTGAGGAAAACAGATTTCAACACTGGGTATCAGCAGCTACTTTGGGTTACAATTTTTTAAACTTTTTGACTGCCAAGTAAAAAACAGCTAATTGCACATAAGGCAACAATACTGCTTAATCCTATGTCTTTTATGTTGACCATTCCTTATACTAAACTTTCTTCTTACTTGTTCTCCAAGTTGTTGGAATCTGTATTGTGCAAGGATCATCTGCAGATTCATCTGCTGAACTGCCAATGAAGTCAAAGTTAAGGCAGTTGAGGACCAGTTTCAAGACTTGCATTACTAGATTTTGTTGATCCTGATCCTGAAGGTTTAAAGGCTTGCCCAATATCTGAAAAAGGTTCAAAGTCAAATAAAATATTATGAAACATATCAATTAAAAATTTTTACTCAACCTAATTTTAAAAATTTCAGTGCCAAATTAAAATTAGTGAAACAAAAAAAGAGAAAGAAAAAAGAAATTGCAAAGGGATGTTACTGTAATAGACTATTCTCAACCTTAATATTGTAAAATGGGGACAAACTTTCATATTTAATTGCAAAATGGAGGTCACCTTTAGCAGTTCTAAGAAGCAACTTTAGGACAAATACTTTATACAGCACAAATGTATAAATGTACAGGATTCATTAGCTCAAAGGAGCAATTGGGAAAAACTGAAAACATAATACTCTTCAAGAAAAAGTGGGGGGACTTCATGAATAAACGATAACACATTCAGCTAACAAAGGTTCTCAGAGGCTGTTTGAATGTGGGGGGATAGTCGTAAGCTTCTGGAGGACAATCCCGACCCCTTTTAAAAGTCTCAATTAGTTTCTGCAATAATGTACACTAAGAAGACAAAGAAACTACTATCCAAAGACAAGTTACCAAACTACCTTTGGATCCTACTTTATTATATCCCTATTAAATAAAAGTGAATTTTTTGGAACTGTTTAGATTTGTGCAAACCCATTGTTCTTCATGGGGTTGCAGAGTCAGACACAACTTAGCAACTGAACAACAGCAACTGTACTTAAAAGTATCCACAATAACTCCTCAAAAGGCAGAATGGTGTACCGGGGAATTCATCAGAAATTCTTCTGAAACAGGATGCTCAATTATTAACTTACCTCTTTTAGAAGAGAGCATGCTAGCACTAAAATGTCTTTGAGAGAAGTATCACGAAATGAGGTAGCTATTTTCCTGTGTTTTGCTGAAGGTCTAGAATAATCAACCTAAAAAGTTCAAGATAAATTTATTTAACCAGACTTACCAGAGAGCAAAGCAAAAATTTACTATGTAAGAAAAAGAGTGAAATTAATGATCAAATAATCATAAAGTATAGGGCTAAAAGAGCTTTTAAAAATCTGCTAGGGTAAGTCATCTGTTCAAGGTTACTCAAAGAGCTAATAATGGCAGAACCACAATTAGCACCCTATGCTTCTGGACTGTTCTAATTCAGTGCTTTTTCTGCAAACTATACTGATCCTAAAATTAAAAACAAGAATAAATCATATTTCAGAGGCATTATAAACACACATTATAGATACTATCAATTCCTGAGACATGCATAGTTTGCACTGGGCAAGAAACAACCTCCCTGGTCCTCAGACTCCATCTATAAAATGAAAAATCTCTAAGATAATCTTAAAATTCTTATTTTCTGTGAATCAGTGAACTGAATCAGCTATATAAAATTCTTGCATATGAAAGTGATATTTCTATATATACCAGATGCGTATGTCACTGATTCATATATTTTGATATTCTTTAAAAAAAAAACCCAAGGCAGAAATTATAAATAATCAGAAATTTGATTTATTACATAAGCCACAGTATATTCCTTCTGAATATTTTACTAGTTAATAATAAGTAACTTTTAAGAATAAGTTTACCAAGAATAGTTGTTGAGCCTCTAATCTAAAATATAATATGGTAAAAAGTATGATATTAATACCATTAATATTTCCATTTATCACCAGGAAACAGCAAACAAAACTGAAGTCTGATACTCTAATGATTTGTTACTACCACAGGCAACAGTTGCTATAGCATTCCTTTTGCTATCTGAAAGATGAAAATAAATCATTTCCTTACTGACGTTTATATTTCAAAAAAGCAGTGAGATCAAAATTGATTATCTGATACTTCCTAAGCTCCATCATACTATACTAAGATGCCACGTTTTACTCATAGGAACATGAAACATAACAGAAGTCCAGAGTGATTACAGAAAGCAGTTACTAGGATCTCTATCCACTATGCAATATTCAAATTAGTATTTGCAGCATTTCTCCCTTTTTTAAAATCAAATATCCATCTGTCTTTCAATAGGTCTGTTTCTTCAGTTTCCCTCAATATATAAAAACATTTCTTAATACAAATTAGTAATAGCATACACCATTACAATATCAACTTATGTACCCTTCACATATTATTTCACTAAATCCTCAAAACTAACCTATATTCACATAAAGTTTACAGGCACACCATATCTATAAATGGGCTTCCCAGTGGCCAGTGGTCAAGAAGCCACCTGCAATGCAGGAGATGCAGGAGACGCAGGTTCGATCCCTGGGTTGGGAAGAGCCCCACTCCAGTATTCTTGCCTGGAGAATCCCATGGACAGAGGATCCTGGTGGACCACAGTCAATAAGTTGCAAAGAGTCAAGCATGACTGAAGCGACTTAGCACAGCACACACATCTATAATACTGAGGGAAGAACCCTGGGTTTACTGTGCACTTGTACATACTAGGACCTGTGCTAGTAATTTACCTAACTAATCATAATAAGACCTTTGGAAAGTGTCATTCTCAGTTTACAGATAGTGATATGTAAATTTAAACACACTGAACAAAGCAGTAGGCAACAGAGCTAAACTACAAATCCAGGTCTTATTTCAGAGTTACCTTCTAGGCACATGACTTAGCAACTACAACAACTATAGCAACAACAACAAATACAATCTACTCGGGTCACTCATTTAGATGTCCAATGTTTTTGAGAAGGGGAATTATGCATCCATTTTCTACTGTATAACTACGCCTCAAGAATACCATAGTAGGTTGCCACGCCCTCCTTCAGGGGTTCTTCCCGACCCAGGGATCGAACCTGAGTCTCCTGCGTCTCCTGCATTGCAGGCGGATTCTTTACCACTGAGCCACCGGGAAGCCCATTTACAGATATGGTGTGCCTATAAACTTTAATTTTCTCCTATGTGAATATAGGTTAGTTTGAGAATTTAGTGAAATAAGTAGTCTTAGCTGTTACAAAAGCAAAACAACATATAATTCTAAATTTTTTGAAGTCTCAAGTTTAGATCTTTTTTTAAAAGACACATCCTGTTACTGAGCCTACATGAATTTACCTGGCTCACATTTGACAACTATAGTATTTTATTTTCATTATGGATTGTAGATCTCCCTATTGCCTGGTTCAGAAGTACTGAAGAAATGACAGTTGAAATTGTTAATACTCTAAAATTAGGCTGACCAAAATGTCTCTGCAGAAGCCATGTATTTTTTATCATAAAACCCAAAACTGCACTTTAGAACTTGAAGCTTTTTCTGAAAAGGTACATACTTGGTTCTATACAAGATAAGCCTGGAACATCTTGGACAGGATGTAAGGAAAAGTCCAAAGAATGGTAAGTAAATGTCAAATGAACAGAGATGCCAGCTTGAAAGGGTTTCTAATGGCCAAATTTGGGAAAATTTGGGCATCAAAATATAATGTTAGTATCAAACTATAACATATTAAATAAAGTTGGAAACCAGGAATCTGTGCTGATAGAAATAATAAATGAATAAATTAAAATTTTAAAGAGGTATTAATAAGGTATTTTCAGAGTTTAAAGTACCTCTCCACATAACATTTATTACTTACAAAGGAGAAAAGAATAAATTTACAATTGAAGAAGCCTGGTAGAGACCACCTTAGTCAAGTGACCAAATGTAAATCAGATCATGTGCTCCCTGAGAGGAAACAATGAGAAAACCACAATATCAGCACATCAGCCCCCCTACAGCACTCACAGCCAGCCCTGCAGCCAGCTGGGTCAGGAGCAGCCCCAAAAGCCAGCACAATCCTGGCTCAGCCACACAGGAGGGCACATGCAGCCCACAGAGGGGAGACGGAGCGCCGGGGGCAGCTGACTCCGGGGACCAGGGAGACTGTGCCAGTAGGCCCACAGAACACCTTTTACCTCAGACCACTGCTTCAAGACCAGGAGATGTAGCTGATATACCTACTACACAGAAACAAACACAATTAGACAGAATGAGGAGATGAGGGTTACCTTCCAAATGAAAGAATCAGACAAAACTCCAGAAAAGGAACTAAACAAAATGGAGACAAGCACTTAGCAGAGTTGAAAGTAACAGTCAAAAAGATGCTCCCCAAAACTGGGAGACAAATGGATGAACTCAGTGAGAACTTCAACAAAGAAATAAAAAATATAAAGAAAGAACCAATCAGAACTGAAAAATACCATATCTGACATGAAAAATACACCAGAGCAAATCAACAGCAGATTAGAGGAAGCAAAAGAACAGATGAGCAATCTGGAAGCCAGAATAGTGGAAACAACCCAACTGGAACAGTTAAAAGAAAAAAGGATTTTTTTAAAAAAAACGAGATAGTTTAAGGGACCTCTAAGACAACCACAACTGTATTAACATTTGCATTATTACAGGGACCCCAGATGGAGAAGAGAGAAAGAAAAGAGCACATAACACACTTGAAGCCATAAATGCTAAAAACTTCCCTACCTTCAGTACCAAAAAATAATCTGAATAAAAAACAGGCCAAGTACATGAAAAGATATTTTTCCAAGGAAGACATACAGATGGCCAACAGACATATGAGAAGATGTTCAACATCATTAATCTTCAGGGAAATGCAAGTCAAAACCACAATGACATATCACCTCACCTTTCTCAGAATAGCTATTATTAAATAGAGAACAGATAACAAGTGTTGGCAAGGACGTGAAAAAAGGGGAACCCTGTGCTACTGGTGAGGATGTTAACTAATACGGCCACTATGGAAAACAATATGGAGGATCCTCAGAAAATTAAAAATAGAACTACCATATGATCCAGGAATTCCACTTCTGGCTATTTATCCAAAGAAAACATGACTTACAATAGCCAAGATATAGAAATGTTTATCAACAGATCAATGAATAAAGAGTATGTGGCATATATACACACAATGGAATATTACTCAGCCATTTAAAGAGAATGAAATCATGTTGTATGCAGTAACACGGGTAGACCTAGAGGGAATTATGCTAAGTGAATTAAGTCAGACAGAGAAAGACAAATATTGTATGATTTCAGTTACATGTGGAATTTAGAAAACAAACAGAAAGACTCACAGACACAGAGAACAAACTGGTGATTGCCAGAGATGGGGGATGGGAGTTGGATAAATAGGTAAAGAGGATAAAGAGGTACAAACTTCAAGTAATTAAATAAGTCTCAGGGACATAATGTACAGCATGAGGAATAATCGATATTTTAACAGCTTTGTATGGCAACAGATGCTTACTAGACTTATGTGGTGATCAATTCATATATATACATATATATATATATATACACACACACAGACACATGTCAAATCACTATATTTTAAACCTGAAACCAACATAATATTGTATGCCAGCTGTACTCCTTAAATATAAACACATATAAATTCTTAAATATAAACACATTTTCCTCTATTATAACATTATTCCATATAAAACTCAACTCCTCCTTCTGTTCTGTTTAGAACCATGTTAAACACAAAAGTGAACAAAAGCAGGTGAGGATGTGCTCAACTGCCAAGTTCATAACGGCACTGGTGGGGGAAGTGTAGCTTCTGCAAACTCTGCTTGCACAGGGTGAAAACTCAAGCTAGCAAGTGAGTGCCAAGCAGCCTTTGATGAGTCCTGCTGTGTACCCATTATTGAGAAATCAATTCACCAAACTGCTTGTCTTTTATTTGTAAGCGAAAAAAGGCTTGTTTTACTTTTGCATACAATTTATTTGTATGATTAGTATATTACTATATACATGGAATATAAAAGAACAATTATCCAATTGCCACAGAGGACCATGTCTAATTTCCTGTTCTTTGTAGTACTTTACATTGTTGCTATTATTTTCAATGACAACAAAAGTGTTCCACCACTTAATTATCCCAACAATAAAATACACCCCCCCACCCCCCGAAAAAGACTTGCTTATTCACAGTTTTATACAATACAAAGTTTTACATCAAAGAAACAGCATTACTTAGCAAACTTCATGTCACCATTAGATTGAAAGGCTTACCAGGTTCATTTCCTGAGTCAATTCTGAAAGGATTATTACTCCTATTATGCAGTGTTCCATAGCACCCTTTGGGGGAAAAAAAAAAACAAGTTTAGCCTAAATGGAGACACATAAAATGTACAAGTAATAAAATTATGAAACACTGCATTTTCTTAAAATAGATTTATTAAAATACATAGAAAAATCACTATGCGGTCCACAAACAAAAATAATTTCATGTTCATTTTTTGAAGGATACATGTAGACATATAGCTGAGTGGGAAAAACTTAGAATTGCATATACTCTATAAAATATCTTCAGCATGCATGACTTACAATAAACTAAACTTCAAAATATTAACATAAGAGTTTCATTTTCATAAGACTACAAATAAGGAACAAAAAACAATTTTTAGCTCTATAAATTTGCTTGAAGGTTACTGAGATAGATGCATTCAATAAATAATTAACAAATAGCTTAGAAATTAATTTAAACCCCTTGACCTAATATCAGGTAAGGTTGCTTAGGTCCTTTTAATTTTATTTAATAATGCACATGTATTCATTTACATATGGATCTATAATGAAGGCATGTGAACTGTCCAATGCACTGGGTAAATAAATACATGACTATCAATATAGTATGATGTTTTAATATAATCAGCTTCCAATTTAATCTCAATAAACTTCCTTCAAATCAAAATTCAGGTTTTATATGCATATTACTAACAAATTACCCAACTGCAAAATCATACTGGAGTATGAAAATAAAAATGTAACATCCAATTACTGTGTAATAATTCTAAAAAGCAATACAGATCCTTTTCAAGTCTTAATTTTACAGCTGTTCATTCCTTCTAAATATTACAGAATTTCACTAACACTGGGTAGGTGTAATTAAATTCAAATGATCTCAGAATAAAAAATAAAGGAAACATCCTTAATTTTTGCACTTTAATTCTTTATGGCCCTTTAGGACAATCTGAACTCTATGAACTAAACTACAGATCTCATTACTGAAGCATCCATCTCCTGTGTAAACCAAGCCACTGCTCCTTAAAGTGTCATTCCCTAACCAACTGCTGGCCCATGAACCCGCTGGTCGTCTGCAGACGAGACTCTGATCTGAGAATGGTCTGACACTTGTTCATGACAAGAGAGTCTGCACCAGAATATAAAACATAGCAGTCAGTAAGCACACTGCTTAGCTCAGCTGGCACTCCTCCCACAGCAAGCCTCCCGACGCGGTCAGGACCATGTTCATTTACTGACACTGACTGACACATTCATTCTGACATAAGCTCCTCATCTTGCTGTGGACCAGCAATCTGAATAGCACTGTCCTGGATGACAGTAGGCTCTCCTGGATATATATGTAGAAAGGAGGGACATAAATGTTAAAAGTATGGCAGCAAGAAGGTTACAATAACAGAGAAAAAAGACATACAAAATTTCAGGCCATTAAAAATTTCACAAACCTAAAATAATTTTTAGTACAAAATTCAAAGAAGCTGTTAATACCTACCCAAAGGAACCATGGGGTATCATTTTGGAGTACTAAAATATTAAGTCAATTGTCTTTCTCATGACTCCAGGTTAAGTTAGGTCATAATACCCAGAAAGCAGGTGTTTTTTTGGTGATACTGTAATAAACTTTGAAGATGAAACATTTTCTGTTTCTTCTGGCCTTCCAAAACTGATAAAAGCACACTAAAGCCCAATGCAATAAGCTCAACTTACCAGCCACTGAAAGGGGAGCTTAAAAAATGCTAGCCAACAAGAATGATTTAATTTCATTCAGTTCAACCTACTTTTATTTTAAAAGAAGTGTAAAGTCTATTCTTGTTTACACTAATGACACTAATGAAGAGCTGTGTACAATCTTAGTAAATGATAAGAGAGGGGTGCTACTTGCATTAGTCAAAATTATATGCACGACTATAAAGTGAGAAACACATGTGTTACTGAATAAACCATTCCTCTGTCCTAGAGCAGATCTCCTCAGGACTAAAAATACATACTCCAGTGATGTTTTAGATAAATATTTGTTAACCAGGATTTCAACAACATGAATAAAAGAGAAGCAGTATAGTCTAGAGTTTCATATTCTGGGGTTTCTAGCATTACAATGTATGATGGAATTACATCATAGGGATTAAATTTGACAGTTACTATATAAGCAATAACATCTCAGAAAGTCCAAATTGCCTCTAATTGCCAATAAGCCAACACCAAACATCTCTCAATTAATCCAAACTGCCAGTTTTTCCTTGAGATTTGTAACAGACCACCTCTTTAGTAGCACCAGCTAAAGTACATTTCTTGCGATCAGGGATAAAATTCACATGAAAAAATGTGTGGGTGNTATGATGGAATTACATCTTACATAGGGATTAAATTTGACAGTTACTATATAAGCAATAACATCTCAGAAAGTCCAAATTGCCTCTAATTGCCAATAAGCCAACACCAAACATCTCTCAATTAATCCAAACTGCCAGTTTTTCCTTGAGATTTGTAACAGACCACCTCTTTAGTAGCACCAGCTAAAGTACATTTCTTGCGATCAGGGATAAAATTCACATGAAAAAAATGTGTGGGTGCTAGGTTACCTCAGTCATGTCTGACTCTCTGCGACCTTATGGACTGTAGCCCACCAGGCTCCTCTGTCCATGGGACTCTCCAGGCAAGAATACTGGAGTGGATCACCATGCCCTTCTCTAGGCAATTTTACTGACCCAGGGATCAAACCCATGTCTGTCTCCTGAACTGGCAGGCGGGTTCTTTACTACTAGTGCCACCTAGGAAACCCACACAGTTAAAAGCACGTTATCTTTAAATCATAACAAACTGTGGAAAATTCTTAAAGAGACGGGAATACCAGACCACCTGACCTGCCCCTGAAGAAATCTATATGCAGGTCAGGAAGCAACAGTTAGAACGGACATGGAATAACAGACTGGTTCCAAATCAGGAAAGGAGTATGTCAAGGCTGTATATTGTCACACTGCTTATTTAACTTATATGCAGAGTACATCATGAGAAATGCTGGGCTGGAAGAAGCACAAGCTGGAATCAAGACTGC